TAGTCCTTAAGAATAGGTCAAGTTGCCTCTTGAAGGACTCCTGAGAAGTCGCTTGGACTAGCTCGGCCGGCAGCGAATCCCAGCTTTTGACAGCTCTTAAGGAGTAGAAGTTATGTCTACATTCTGTTTTGCTATGTTGTGTCTCCAGTTTCTGGGTATAATCCCTTAGGTTATTGCTCGAAATAAGCCTAAGTAGGTGTTTAAGAGGATGTCCAGAAGTGCTAAGAATACTATAGGCCATTAATAAATCGCCTATACTCTAATAGGTAAAGGTCTAGTGAATGGAGCCGTTCTTCGTAAGGTTTAAATTTGAGTCCTCAAACTGATTTCATGCCTCGCCGTTGGATGCGCTCCAAAGTGCCCTTATCCTTTTGGAGTGACGGAGGTAATACTATGTTTCCGTACTCTAAATGGGGACGAATGAAACTGTTGAAGATTATGTGGAAAGTCCTTCTGTCAAACTGGCCAAACATGCGCTTCAATGTTACCAGTGCAAGGTTTGCTCGGAAGGCATTTTTGTCACAGTTAGCGTAGGACTTAAAATCATGGGGCACCAGGACTCTTAAATCCTTCTCGACTTGGGATACTACAAGAGAGGAGTTTCCTAAGTTGTAACTGTAGTTTGCGACATGTCGCAGATGGACTACTTTACACTTTGAAGTGTTAAAGGTAAGTCCGTTATCGTCTGCCCAACTTTGAAGTCCAGTCAGATCCTCCTGAAGTGCCTGTGTATCGTCTTGTGTGCGTATCTCTCCCCAAAGTTTCACGTCGTCGGCAAGAAGTTATAAGTCTGGCGTTACCTGTTGAGGAAGATCATTTATGTAGATCAAGAAGAGAAGAGGCCATAGTACTGAGCCTTGGGGGACGTCACTAGGACATTCCATAGCCTGAGATAAGGTGAAATTAACCCTAACCTTAAAATGTCGATTTTTCAGGTATGAAGTAAGCCAATCGACATTCTTCGAAACCCTACTCCAAGAAATACAGATCTAGTGCACTAACTAACAAAATGCTGTTATCATATAACCGAGCACAAATTTACCGTCAACGGAAGTATGTAAAGTTATGTACAAATAAAAAACTTACCCGCCTGCAGCTCAACACTGCTTCCGACATGACACATCATTCGAAGATCCTGGGATCTTGTCGGAAAACCCCAGGTGCTACCAACAACCCAGTTAGCTCAAAGTGCATCTGGAGGGAAATTAAATGTTGTTGGAGAGGTTTACTGTACAGTTTCAAAAGGAAATGCGAAGACGAATGCAACTTTATATCTTACAGAGAAACCAGGACCAGATTTACTGGGTCTAGAATTAATAGAAACACTACAATTAGCGAATCACACCACTAACCACAAATGTAGCGCTGTGAGAACCAATAAGCCAGTGGAAAAGGACCTGAAGGGTGTTGTATTAGAAAGACATAGTCAAGTCTTTGCGGAAGAGTTGAGGGAATGCAAAAATGTAAAAGCACAACTGATTCCTAAACCGGGAGTCACCCTCGTCTTCCGACCAAAACGACCGGTACCCTATGCAGCACTGCCTATTGTTGAACAAGAATTAGAGCGTCTGCAAAGAAGTGAAATAATAGAGCCAGTAAACTTTTCTGATTGGGCAGCTCCAATAGTGAGTGTCAAAAGCCAAATGGAAGCATCCGGCTACGTGCAGATTATTCGACTGGATTAAATGAAGCACTTGAAGCCCATAAATACCCTTTGCCAGTATCAGAGGATTTATTTGCAGAACTGAATGGGAGTACGTATTTCGCAAAATGAGACCTATCAGACGCTTATCTAAAGATTCCAGTAGCGGAAGAGTGTAAGCATTACTTGACAAACACTCACAAGGGGTTGTTCCGATATAACAGACTTTCTTTTGGAGTAAAGATCGCCACTTCCAACAAGTTATGAATACTATGTTACAAGATATTCCTGGTACCGCAGCCTATCTCGATGATATACTGATCATGCGTACAGACTATGCTGATTTAGAGAATAAGGTGGATACGTTTCTCAGACACATAGCAGATTATGGGTTCAGACTGCGCGCCGAAAAATGTCATTTTTTCATGAAGCAAGCCCGCTATTCGGTATTCATAGTTGATAGAAACGGAAGAAAACCTGATCTTGAAAACATCGAAGCTATCAAGCCTCGACCGAAGGATATATCAACTTTACGTTCTTTCTTGGGAATGGTTAGTCATTATGGCGTTTTTCTTCCAGATCTGCACCGCCTTCGTGCTCCTCTTAATTTCTTCATGAAAAATGATACCAAATGGTTCTGGCCAACCGAATGCCAGGAAGCATTACTAAAACTAAAGCAGCTCATATCATCAAACCTTCTGCTTACACATTATGACCCAGATCTTCCAATTATAGTCGCCGGACCAATGCAAGGCAGAAATTACATAGTTTTTGCCGATGCTTTCACAAAATGGTTAGAAATATATGACATGACGGAAAAGATACCAGAGAGTACAAAAGGATTGTCAGGATTGCTTGTTTCGGGGTTCCAGAGGTCTTAGTGATCAACAACTGCACTCAGTTTATTTCATCCGCTTTCAAACGCTTTTGCAGTGAAAATGGCATATCGCATCTACAATCTCCTCCATACTATCCCTAGTCGAATGACCAGTCAGGAAGATTAGTGGATATGATAACAAGAGCTCTGATCAAAGGGAGAGGTGAGAGTATCCCAGGACAAGTGGTCAGTAAGTTCCTACTGTCTTACAGAGTTACCCCTAATCCGGCAGTACCGGAAGGAAAGTCACCAGCCGAGGGTATGTTCAGAAGGAAAATCTGAACAGTCTTTAACGGTATGTTGCCACCCAGAAAGACAAATAGACCGACGAATGAGTACCGGACGGTCACTCGTAGCTTCCAGGTGGATTAAAAGGTACTTGTCAAATCTTATCAAGGTAATAGGAAGTGGGAACCAGGTGTCATAGAAAGTCGAATCAGAAATGTACTGTACCTCGTCCAGAAAAGTGTCGGAAAACGTATAAGACACATAAATCAAATGCAAAGAGACGGCAGTACATTGGTCCCACAAAGCCGACTCTCATTTCAACTTCTCGCGGATTCATCCCAGAAAAGCCCTCAGGAGCGCAAACATGGAAGAGATAAACGACGCAAAAGAAAAGCCGCACAAATCTCGGGGGTGATGGACCGCAAGAGGAATGTGGCAACACAGTTTCAGGTGGATCCGAGAAAAAATTCTTACACAACAGGCTTTAAAGGAGGGAGGTGTGAGGACGGACCACGCGTAAATTCGAGGAAGCGGTAAGAGGCTCAGAAGGAGCCGAAACTATTCCATCCAATCACCTTTGTGAAGAATATTCTAGAATTCCTACGTATAGCTCCCCGATTGGACAATGATAATAACCTTCTGTATGCGGATTGGAGGACTGTAATGATGATATCATTCCTACTAAAAACTATAAGTACCTGACAAATTTGTACCATAATTGACACTGTCCGGAGTAACATTCCTTTCGCTAGTCTTCTGTTTTCTCATTGCGACTTGGGTTGTGGCGTACTAATGCTCAAGTTATACGCGGTATGTCAAGAAAACGAACCAGCTATATATAAATTAGTTCGTTCTTGGTCTTTCTACTCGTTCGAGATATCTCGATCTAGTTGAAGAAAAAGAAAGAATGTGTTATGTCAAAAATCATTTCTTAGTATTCTATACATCAAAACTAGATCACCTCTTAGTCTGCAACAGGACAGAGTATATAGGTCTAGCTTTTCAAGCCGCTCTTGGTATGGTAGACTTCAGAGTTCTGGAATTTCACGGATAGCTGCCCTCTGTACGTTTTCAAGGATATCCGAGTCACGTTGTAAAACAAGGGCCTGCAGCCTGAACTCAGTTTTCAAGCTTATTTCCCACTAAGATTGTGTATAGTGTAGTGGACATGGTAGTATCTAACTTCGTGAATGTTCGTCTTAAAGCCTACAGGGTTCTAAACCACTTACCTGCGACCTCACGGCAGTAGGTTGTGGTCTTAACATCATGACTCACTGTCAACCCAAGATCGTTGTGAGGCCGGACTACAGGTACAGGCCCTCACCCTATGTTGTACCTTTTTATTTTTGTAACCTCAAAGTACATGTAGACACATTTTGCCGCGTTGATAGTCATCAGCCACTCCTTAGATCGGTTAATCAAAATATTTACGTCTGCTTGAAGTGGGCACGCATCTGCGTCCCCGTTACTTTTCTCCAGATTTTTACATCGTCAGCGTATAATAACATTGGGGACTGTATTATACTTAGGAGATCATTTACATATAGTACAAAAAGTAAGGGACCTAGGACAGAACTTTGAGACACTCTACTAAGTGCTGGTCTCCAGGTGGAACACTTTGAATTTATTCTTACTTCCAGTCTACGATCTGCTACGAAATCCCTAAGCCATTTTAAGAGAGGGCCGAAAATATTAGGATTTTCTAACCTAAATATCAGTCTATTTGTTGGCACCTTGTCAAATACCTTACCGAAGTCTATGTAGAAAACATCCACTGAGTTTCCGTTATCTAGCGCCTTTATCCAATGCTTACATACCATCCATACTTTTCCGTGACAAGCCAAACAGTGCAGCTGGTAACCTTATTAGTTTATTCCACACTACCTTGTTATGCAATAATCTTCTTCGGTGAGACTATAATTTATGGACGACCGTTAAGCAAAGCTAGACTTAACTTGAGAGTGTCCGCCTAATAACTACGACCAAGTGAGAGTTATAAACCAGTGTGGGGAATTAAAATTATGATTTGCACTTGATGGTTAAGGTTAGGAAATAAATTTAGGTTTTTCGCTGTCTCCTTTTCTGCATGTAATGTATGATTACTTGACTCTCTTCCCTTTTATAATGCATAATTGGAATAAGAATCCTACGCCTCAGTTACTTAGGATTTTCTTGTTTCAGTTAAATTCGGAAACGAATATTTGGAGTGCTAAACAAGTTGTTTTACTTACGTTTCACAAATTCTTTTAACAGATGTACAAAGAATCTACACCGGTAATAGATCTCGTTTTCAAACCAGCTGAAAATAAATTTGCAGCTCTTGCAGGCCATGATGCCTTATTACAGTTAAGTGGTTGTTTTAATACCACCGCTACAGCTTTAATGCGATTGTCTAATGATTTTTGTCTGCTCAGCTCGGGACCAAACTGTGGCCTCAGTGAATTTGTTTTACCGGCAAACGAACCTGGATCAAGCATTATGCCAAGCAAGTTAAATACTTTTCAATTGTACACAACTTTCTTTGTGATGTCTCTTTTGGCTGATCGTTCAATCACTACTCGATTTCATATGAATTGAGCTGATCGAATCCCCGAAGGTATTTAACTTGTTTTGTCTACTGGAACCATGCTTCACATACTTAGCGATTAAAACGCCTGACTCATTCAGCAGTGCACAATTCACAACACCAAACTTGCTTCTCCATAAGTAACTGGGTAGTAATACTAGCCCTCTAACTAAAGTGTGACTCAAATTCAATAAAACGACCGCCACAAGACGAATGAATGTATTTGTTATGTCTTAAACGTGTAACTCGTATCTAACTAACCCTTGGATTTTTAGAGCCTATACATTAAAGTATAACGGTGCCCAAAGTATTCGGAGTCTAACAACACCTTGATCAGTAACATTTTTACAATCGAAACGTGCCGACCCAGAGAAGCCAGAAGCAAAGAGGTTAGAAGATATGTTTGATAGAATATCGATATACATAGCGACAGTCTTCTATCGAACCTCTACAACCATGACTGATGGCAATATGGTCCACTTAATAATAATAATAATAATAATAATAATTTATTCTCAAATAACAGTTTGTTACATGAGGCATACCAGTTTACAGGCAAGATCAAATTGATACAAATGATACAATATCCACTGTAGTAAATTACACAGCTGGGTTGATAATTTATAAGATATGAATGTAGATGGTTTTAATCAGTATCACAGTTGGCACGCCTCATGAAAGTTGCGTTGCGAATGTGCAACTGATGGTCAAGGATAGGTCCATCGAAGGTGGGAGCTTCTAAATGTCGCAACCTTATGTCCCTTTGGAATGTCTAAGGCTTTGAGGATGGTGCAGGATAAAATCTTTCATTCCATATCACAAGGGGGCTGAAAGAGGGAGCAAATAAAAGAAAACACGAGGGGCAGAGTAGCCAATATTCATGAAGGAATGTTTAAGGTATGATTTCTCAGTCTAATTTTCTTTTATTAAGGTATTTGTTAAGAAAGAGCATTTAATAGGTTAAAGAAAATAAGTGTTAACAGGGTGTGAGTGGACATACAACTGACAAATGGAGGTGATTCGGAAAGGAGCTGAGAGTATGGGATTATGTGTGGTTATAAAATAAAATATGGTGCTAGAGTACTTGAGTTCATCGTTGGTTTGGTGAAGGGGGTCGCCATGTTAGATGATTTCGCTCCTTATGCTTAGGATTAGTGCCCACTAAAAACATGATTGTCTGAGCGGAGTTGCGTCAGACTATCACCATTATCTGTTCGCTGAGCCGGAATGCTAAAATGCCCGCCTAAATGTCTTTCTGTTTGGTTCAAGCTACTTACCTGGGCATTAAAGTCACCTACAGAGACAACGAAAAGGCAACGATTTGTATCCCTATCGTTGCGGGTTTTTGTGAAGTTGTTTTCTTTTGATTCTTCGAATACCCATAAAATATTTGATGAACCGAAGTTTTAGTACAAATATGGATAAAATCTAGGATTGGGCCAGAAATGCGGATGTCCTTGGCTGAAAAGTTGATTATGTCCATCTAAACGTTTCGATTACGTTTGTAAAATTTTCGTTGTAAATTGATCAATCGGCAATTTTTTTCAGGTAAATTATTTTATAACTCATGTAGTGGTTATTTGTCTAGATTAACTGGTTTGAGCCTATCAATGCTTGTGTAAACCTCCGCGTGTTTTTTGTACAAAAAATGTTACGTGTCTATTGGTCACCCTCGTTCTATTAAAGAAACCAGACTAGCAGTGAACAGGTCTTCATTTAGATCGCGGTACAGCCACAGTGGAGCAAAGGATTACCCGTTCAAACATGCAAAGCTTTTCAACATTCGACATAAGATAACAGGAAATATAACGCCTATACGAAACAAGGAAGTGAAAAAATACTTTGGCTCTATTGCTTTGACGTATACTTAGTTGTTTGAGGTCAACTCGTAACCAATCAACCTAAGCTGTTACATTAACTTCCTCCTCGAATCGAATTCCGTAGGAACGTCGGTTCAATCAACTTATCCGTCAAGAACACCTACGTTCTATTTCTGCAGCCCAAGGGAGAATTACCAACTCGTTCAATGTTTTACTTTCAATCAATGACGACCAGCTCCGTCATCATTCGACGATAGTCTATGAATGTCTCTTCATTTACTAGCTTGTTTCCTTGTCTTTTAGCACTTAATTTCTTCCACAACTATCGCTGATGGTTTGTTATGAGCCCTCTATATGGTGATCAGAGCTTGTAAGAGAAAAGAGAGTGAGAGAATGAAATAAGGATACACGAGGAAGTGCCGCGAGCAGGCTATCCAACATCATGTTGGTGAGGTACGCTTTTTCCACCAGATATTTACTCAACTGCCTCTTGAGTTGCCTTCAAGTAAAAAAATAAAGAATCTACTGCAAGAACAGCGGTGAAAATCAGTCAAACCTGAAGAACTGCCCCACTGAGCACATAAAATAATAAGGTATAAAAAGGAAATACACAAACGTAATTGACGATGGTTTGGTTGCACATAAGTGTTGGCTTCCAGAATCGATTGGTAATCTGTAAGGAAATAGACAGAGCGTATATATATTGCTTACGAAAAGGTATGAAAACAAAAATTTACTTTTTCAAAATGCATATATATAAATGGATTTTCCAGAAATTGAACTTCCCACCAAATTCGATCTAATATATGACCCTGAGTCCATGATGATCGCCTTTTATAACTGGGTTCGTAACCACTGGTGCATAAGAGTTCTCACGAACTCAGAAAAGTAGAATATACGGTTAAGCAGAAACAGAAAATTATAAAGATCACGAGGATCGAATGTTTTTTATGTCAGCGACCATTCGATGGCTTGATGTAGGTTTGCACGTTATATTGAGGCTACATCTCGAGTCACCTTGGTAACTAGTTGCTCTACATCTAGGATGAGATTTATCTACTAATTTATCATACCTTTGTCTGTTTCACCAGAAACTATTAGGCATTGTTTAGGGTTTACATTCACATGCCTTGCTGCTCCTTTTTTCAGCACTAGGCTCTCGGTGGACAGCTACGGGGCTACCTACGCCGCACACAAGCCCATCATACGCGTTCTTTGAGGTCGCGGTTTATACAATTAGCCCTTCGTATGTACGGTATAACAATTATAAATTCTGAATAAATGTATTGCATCAATACTTGGCAGGATCGGAATTCTAGCACAGTAGTATTGAGTTTGGACATTATGTGCGTTCCCTATAATCTCAACGTGTGCGCGGTCCATCACTCCCGAGATTTGTGCGGCTTTTCTTTTGCGTCGTTTATCTCTTCCATGTTTGCGCTCCTGAGGGCTTTTCTGGGATGAATCCGCGAGAAGTTGAAATGAGAGTCGGCTTTGTGGGACCAATGTACTGCCGTCTCTTTGCATTTGATTTATGTGTCTTATACGTTTTCCGACACTTTTCTGGACGAGGTACAGTACATTTCTGATTCGACTTTCTATGACACCTGGTTCCCACTTCCTATTACCTTGATAAGATTTGACAAGTACCTTTTAATCCACCTGGAAGCTACGAGTGACCGTCCGGTACTCATTCGTCGGTCTATTTGTCTTTCTGGGTGGCAACATACCGTTAAAGACTGTTCAGATTTTCCTTCTGAACATACCCTCGGCTGGTGACTTTCCTTCCGGTACTGCCGGATTAGGGGTAACTCTGTAAGACAGTAGGAACTTACTGACCACTTGTCCTGGGATACTCTCACCTCTCCCTTTGATCAGAGCTCTTGTTATCATATCCACTAATCTTCCTGACTGGTCATTCGACTAGGGATAGTATGGAGGAGATTGTAGATGCGATATGCCATTTTCACTGCAAAAGCGTTTGAAAGCGGATGAAATAAACTGAGTGCAGTTGTTGGTCACTAAGACCTCTGGAACCCCGAAATATATACATGTAAAAAAACACGAAAAAATATCACAATATATAAAAATTTAAATAAAGCAATGATATATAAAATCCCAAAACGGAACGGACTTGTGAAATTATGGTCTTCTATGATGTTAATAGCGCTCCAATTATAGATTCAATCTTAAAATTGTAGATTTGTCATGATGTAACTGCCCATTGTATGGAATTTTATTTGGAAGTCACGTGAGTTTGCACTGGCTCATCGTACCGTAACAGTTATCAATATATGATGAAGAACAAGCTTGGGCTAGAGATGAAACAATATATTTTATATGAGTAAAGGTATAAGATAACATTTAACAGTCACCACGCTTGCAAGGACGAGACATGCCGTTCAACCATTTCGAAATACGATTCACTTCATTGTTACCGCCTTCCTTTCTTTGGGTTTTTCTTCGTGTTAAACGTTGAGTATCTATTTTTCGAATTATATCGTGTTCAGCTTTAAGGATTGTGTGATTAGGACTCACAGTTTGTAATTTTGTGTACCAGATCACGTCGAGCTCACCAGTGAAGATGCGACAGGTATTTGGAGTTTGACAACGATTTAACTAGTAACACCTTCTACTATGAATTGTACTCATCAAGTGAAATCAAAAGACGGAAGTGAGGAGGTTCGAAGATTTATTTGATAGGCTATCAGTATATTGTGGATCGACTGATCTAATCTGGCTAGTGATTGCAGAAGATGATGAGCACGGGATTCCCACTCGCGATTTGGTGTGGATGCATGACCGAGCTTCTTCAGCTAGGTGAGTCAATTAAAACTGATGTGGTCAGCATCCAATATGGATGACTTACAGAGCTATTGATTCCAGGGATTTATTTACCGCTACAACATGTAGCACATTTATCGTGAACTTAATACGGTAAGCGTCTGATGCGACTTACTGTTATTTGGAATTTAACAAATACTATCATTTGCTTTAAAGCACGTTCTGAAACGAACAAAGGACGACTGATAGATTTAAAATGCTTTTCTATGAACTCGTGAAATCGCTACGGGCGCCGAGATAGAGCGAAAAATAAAATGTCGGCAAGTACAACCCTAGGAACTATTAAAATAAAAAAATTCATTTATTTAAACTGTAGAGGACTTCTCACTTCTACTGCATAGTTTATT